TCTAATGCTTAGTGATATTGAGCATCTTTTCATGTACTTATTGAACATTTGTGTATTTTCTTTGAAAAGAAGTCTATTCAAGACTTTTGAATCAGTTTTGCTGTTGTTGTTGAGTTTTAGGAGTTCTTTATAATTTTGCCAGATAAGTAATTTACAAATACTTTCTCCAATTTTGTGGATTGCCTTTTTATTTTGTTATAATGTTTTCTGATGTATAAAATGGTTTTAATTTTGATGAAATTCAAGTTATCTGTTTTTGGTTTTGTTGTCCATGACTTTGGTGTCATAGCCAAGAACTTACTGCTAAGTCCAATGTCATAAAGTTTTCCCATAAATCTTCTTCTAAGAGTTTTATAGTTTTAGCTCTTATTTTTAGGTCTTTGACCCATTTTAAATTAATTTTTTCAAGTAATGTCAATAAAGGTCCAACTTCAGTCTTTTGCATGTGAATACCCTAGTTTCATAGCACAATTTGTTGAAAAGATTGTCCTTTTCCCATTCAATGGTCTTGGCACCCTTGTTGCATTTGGGTTTGCCATTGGTAACTTTTACTGTACTTACACATCCTTTAAATTCACCTTGTTTTCACAAGGTCTGTGTCATCTCTGTGGCTGATTAGCTGCTCCACTCTCATACAAATATTTTGAGAATGGCCCAGATTTTGTCATTATTTTGTATTGTGGTGCTGCCTAATAGCTTGCTGTTTTATTTACTTTAATTAATCTGATCAGTGTAGCCTAGTGGGCCATATTGACTCCTGTGGCCTATTTAGTGGGTTTACGTTCATCCTTATTTGATGCCCAACATACTGGGCTTGTCACAGGAAAATTGGTATCCCTTGGTATCCATGGGGAAATTGGTTCCAGGACTCCCACCACTCCCATGGATAGCAACATCTACAGTTGCTCAAGTTCTTCATATAAAATGACAGAATATTTTCATATAACCTACATATATCCCATTGTATACTTTAAATCATCATTGATTACTTATAACACCTAAAAGAAAATGTACCTAGATGTTGTGCCATACTATTTAGGGAATAATGACAAGAAAAATACCTGTACATGTTCAGTACAGATGCAGTGTTTTTTTCCCCATATATTTTTATCTGTGAGTCCATGGATGTGGAACTCACAAATACGATATCCAGATGATACTCTAAAGAGGGCATGCTTCACCCTCTCGATGCCTATCTGGTGCTCACTTTTGAACAGGCATTGAGCAGACAGATGAGATCAGAACAATGGGAGTGGACTGGGGTCAGCACCTCATTGTCGAGGGTTCAGCTGCCCTGTGGAGATGAATTCTCTTTTTCAGTCTTATTTCTAGATCTTCTTCCTTTTCTGGGAGCTAAACTGGGAAGAGGATCAGCTGAGGTCTCAGTCTTGAGATGTCTCGTTACACATTCTTGCCGGGTGAGTTCATCTATCTGCCGACAGCTCCCAAGTTTAAATCCCCAGACCCCCCCCTTAATATAAGAGCGAGTTGCTGAGCCTTTCTGAGCCTCAGTTTCCTCATCTGTAAAATGGGGATAAAGTGAGTTTCCCTGCTTCTGTGTGTGATGGATGCTGTTTGTCAGTGTTAGGCACCAGGAAGCAGCAAGCATTATTTCAGTTTATCATCTAAAGTCCAGCTCAGGAAGACCCTCAAGACACTCATATTATCAAACACTCCTTAATAAAAGACATTTGAGAACAAATTAGAGCAAGAGTTAAATTATGGTAGATACCAGCATCTCATGGCTGTTCTTGAAATCTGTGGGCAAAGCAGGCAGCACAAAACCACCTCCAGTCTCCTCGAAGTGTGTCATGAGTACCGTTTGTACCTGTTAATGTCCATCTGTTTTTCCAAAGGGTTTCATCTGTTAATCCCTTCCGTCTTCAATCAGTTCAGGGCAGCGGAGTCAGTAGATGCTAAGAAGCTTTCAAACTGGGAATGGCCCTGACGGTGAGAGGGGACCTGGGGTGGCCTCTCCAGGACATGGATGTGTGGAGGGACTTGGGAGCTGCAGCAGCTGAACAGAGGTGCACTCAGCACCCTAGGCTAAAGTGTTGGCCTCCAAGAATAATTCTGGTTCTTTCATGAGAATTGTGCTCTGCTTTTGAAGTAGAGAAGGTTGGGATGAGAGAGCAGAACTGGCCGAGTACAGGGAGAGGCCTTTGGGGTGTGACCGGCCTTCTGGTGGTCCTTGCTGAGATCCCTTTTCTCTACTTCGAGCCACTGTAGGGGCAAGGAGACTTCTCTCCAAGCACACAGAACATGCACTTTAACATGTGTCTACCACATTGCCTAAATCCTAGATGGCATATTGATTCCTTTCCAACAGTCTTCTCTGCCCTTAATGTCAATCCATCCCAAATCCAACTGGCTCTGCCCCTTAAATAGTTTCTGAATCTGATCCGACCCTGATCCCTTGTTCCTACCATGATGATCCCAGATGAAGCCACCACAAGCTCCTGTTTTGTCTACACCAGCATCCCAGATGGCTTCCTTCTTTTATCCTTGATCAGTGCAATCCATTCTATAAAGGACCCTACAGGCCAAAGACAGTGCAGCACAGAGCCTCAGTGAATTGGGTCAGGGTCCAGTGGGTAGGGCCCAGAGCATGGAGCCCCAAACCACTGAGGATTGTTTTCAAGCCCTGGAATCTAAAGGGATTTGTCCTACTAAATTTCTAACTTGCTTGGGGGCAGTGTTCCCTTATTACAATTTCTCCCTTTTAGATGGAATTTTCTATCCCTTGCCCATCTTACCATTGTATTATGGAAGCAGATCATTTGTTTTCTAGGTTCACAGGTCCAGAGCTAGAGAGATGTTTTGCCCAAGATGGAGTGTATCTCAGTTATACCTGATTTAGACAATGAGATTTGGAACTTTTCTTTTTTCCTTTTTGGGGTAATGGGGAAATTTTGTACACAGACTTGATGTTGTCATGGATTGAGACTTTGGGGATGTTGGGACATGGTGAATGTGCTTTGTCTGTGGGAAGAACTTGAATTTTGGGGAGCCAGAGGGAAGACTGTAGTGAACTGAATGGTGGTCCCCCAAAACATGTGTCCTGTGAATGTGACCTTATTTGGCAAAAGGATCTTTGCAGATCTAATTAAGAGAGGAAATCACTCTGGATTAGGGTGTGTCTGAATCCCGTGGCAAATGTTCTTACAAGAAGAGTGAAGGAGGGGGATGGGGAGAGAAGGCCCGGTGAAGATGGGGGCGGAGACTGGGGTGGGGCTTCTCCAAGCCTGGAGCGCCCAGAAACTGGATGACAGGCTGGAAGCCTTCTGTCCTAGAACCTTTTGCGACTTTGCTAAAGCCTTAATCAGATTTCTAGCCATCAGAGAATAAATTTCTGTTTCAGTATACCAATCTTGTGTATTTTGTCATGGTAGCCCAGATTACTAATATATTACCTGGCATCCTCTCTGCCCTCTTTTCTGTCGGTTGTTCAGTTTGATATTGCCCCTGCCAGGGTCTTGCACTTGCTGGCTCCTTTGCCCAGGACACCTTTCCCAGGTAAATAAATGCTGGCTCCCTCTTATCTTTGGAGTCTGCTTGCTCGAATACTGTATTTGCTAGCTAGGGAGGTCTTTGCTGGCCACCTCAGTAAGTGACTATCCTCCGTTGCTTCATTTGCCTCATCTCGTCCATTCCCCTTGTTGTCCCTTCCACAGCCGGGACTATGTTCTTCATGTCATTTACGTGTGTGTCTCCCGTCCTCCCCACAAGAACGGTAAGCAGCCCCAGGGCTGGCACCTTCTTCCTTTATGCTGTGAGGGCACCTGGCTCTTGGTGGTCTTTCCATTTGCTGAATGAATGAAAGGCAGGGAGGCCTTTGTCCTGGTAGAGTTCTTCTTCCCTTCACTTGTGCACAGGGGAAGAAATGGGTTCAAGGCCATCAGCAAGACTACTACTGAGCTCTCAGCTTGTCCTAAGGGCCTTGGGTGCTGGCAGGGCCTCTACCCCCTCCCCAGGCTCTGTGCTTTCCTCCTTTGACTGAGGACTCTTTGGCAAGGATCCAGGGGGCCCATGGCTCTGTCACTCATGGCTGCCTCGGACTCTGACTGCAGGACCCAATGAGGCCATCCACTCTCTGTCCTCAGGCTCTGTTCACCTGCCTTCTCTTCTCCTCCCCAGGGGCCAGACCACCTTGTTCATCCTCATAAGTTCTTTCCAGGCCATGTAGCTCCATGTTGGAAGGCCATGACCAGGCATCTATGCTGAACACACACATGTGTGAATGAATGAGTAAGGAGTCCCACCAGAACCAGCAAATACCACACCATTTATGAAGGATGTGAACATGTTTTAAGCTATCTGAAGTCATGACTCCCTCACCTCCTATCTCCTGGAGAAACCCCAGGCTACCTGGAGGCTGAGGGGCTTAGGAAGGCCTTGTAGCTGCTCCCTGAGTGGTCCACCTTGCTTCTGAATAGGTGTACCTGGGGGCGATGTAGGGACTGGTGCCTGGGGAAGTCCTCACATCATCTGGTGGCACAGGGTCCAGTTGACCCTACCCGCATGTTCCTGGCCTCTGCTCCTAACACAGTGTCTGTGTTGAGCCAGCTGCAGATGGAGAGGCACTCAGCTCTCCTCGGCAGGAATGTTTCTGCTTGCTCCTTGATGAAGGTCTGGGTTCACTTGTGTTTAAGGTAAAATCCCAGGATTAGAGTACATCTGCCCACCGACCATTCTTTGTTAACATCTGCAAGTGTCAGCTCGGCTCAGCAAATTTGTCTGATGAGCTTCAACTGGGTGCTAACACTTGGCACGTACTGCAAGCTGCTGGGGGCCTGAAGGTGACAATGGCTCTCAAGGAGGGGGCATTCCAGAGCATGTGACCCTGGAGGAGGGGGTTTGAGAAAGGGATGAAGTGCCTTAGAGTGACTCAATTCTGGCTCTAACATTCTGTTTCTTTAGCTTTATGACCTAAGTTTGCATTTATGTCATCTTTCTGTGCCTCAGTGCTCCAGATAGTCATAAGAGGGTCATAAGAGTACCTGTCCCATGCTGGTCCTGAAGATGGAGCAGGCGAGTCAGGGCAATAAGAACACGACTGTGGGCATGGGGATGCTGACTTGTCCTCCTGCTGTGCTGGCATCAGTGTCCTTCCACGTCCCCGCACCAAAGCTGCTCCTCAGGCTCCTCAGGCCTCTGTTGGGAACCAAAGTCAGATTCTTGGTTTGTGGCAGATTCTCTCCCAGGGATGCAGGCACCCTTGCGACATGATCCATCAACGTTTCTAAGGTACAAATAAGTCTCAGACTTTGCAAAAGGAGCGATTTTTTTTTTTCAAACTAAGGTTGTTTAGGCCCAGGATGTCTGGAAGTGCATGCTCAGCTTCGGCAGGTCCCCAGGGGCTCTCCTTGGGGAGGCAGCCTTCCTCGGAGGACAGGAGCAGGAGTAGGGGCAGCACTTGGCCAGGACGACTGTGAGGCACACCGGGGTAGCCCTTTGGACCCTGGGTGGGGATCCCCAGGACTGAAGCTGAGACCTGCAGGAAAGTTGCCCCTGGCCCTTCAGCCAGGTGTTTGAGCTGCTCACCAGTTGGCTGTCCGGATCTGCTCGTTTGCATGACAGGATGGTGTCTCTTCCTCCTCAGCACCAGGGAGCCTCTAAAGTGAGGCTTGGACTGGCCTTTTAGCCATGGTTACCTTGTTCATTTTAATTTTGGCCAGACTAATGTTTCCCTCCTTCTAAAATATAAACAGAAGTAGAAGGCAGAAGCAGCCAGATGTAGTGGCACATGCCTGTTATCCCAGCACTCTGGGAGCCTGAGTCAGGAGGATTGCAAATTTAAGCCCAGCTTGGACAATTTAGCAACTTAAGGAAACCCTCTCTCTGAATAAAAAGTGAAGAAAGAGCTGCAGATGTATCTCAGTGTGAAAGCCCTGGCCCCAATCCCCAGGACTACAAAAAAAAAGTTAAGAGCAATGTTTATTAACATAGTACCTCATGCCAGGGAGGCACTTAGTTATCTGTTTGCTGTATAACTAAACACTGAGTGAAGCCACAGCCACCACTCAGCCAGTCAGGCAGGGGCTGTCCAAATATTAGCATCCTTATTGTCATCATGCTAGCAAAAATAATAATGGCTTCTATTTGTGAACTTACCTTGATGTGCCTATTATTATTGTACCTGTGTTATTTCATCCAAATTTTACAGACAATACTGTGAGCCAGCTAGCTATCTTTATTGTTTTCCCAGGGAAAAACAGATTTGAGAGCTAAGCAATGTGCTCACAGCCATACTGGCAGTGGCATCTGACCCCTAGCTGTGAAGCAGGGGCTTCCCCATGGCTGCCCTGCAGACTGCTCAAGCACACTGCGTGAGAACGTTTGATGGGGTGCACAGACTGATACTGACACTGCACCCTGCAAAGACAACCTTACTCCTTCCTTCTGTTTTGAACCTGTTTGGCCCGGGACAGTGTCCTTGTCTTTAACACCTCCCAGTGCAGACAGAGAAGTCCAGCCCAGAGCTGAGTATCTTCAGGCCATGACAGTATCCCACTGGATGGTTCAGGAAGGCATCTTGTGCTTACGTCACACTTAATTTTATAATTACTTTCTATTTACAGCACGTGAGGCTGGCTTCCATTTGTGTAATGGATACTGTCTCAGATTTCTAAAGCAAAAGTCTTTATGGAAAATGTTATGTGTAAGTGAATAAAACTGGCATGGATGTGAAAGATGGCAGCAAAGGCATCCCCACCCCAGGGGCTGTCAGAATTGGTCCCGCCTCTTCTAAGTGCTGGTCTCCCAGTTTCCTCTGATTGCATCTGCATTGCATTGTTCTCTAACAATTCCCTGTCTTTCCCTCACTCTTGCTAGCAAATCACAGGGTTTTAAAGTGCAAAGAGTCTGTCACACTTCTGTTTGCTCTTGGGCACCAAGCACAATACTCCTAGTCACAGATAATTGATGGATTCAGCTCTGTGGGCTTAACTGCTACCACGTGACAGCACCTTGACTTAGGCATCTGGCAGGAATTAATCATTTATTCACAGCATCGCGGAAAGGACGGATGACAGACTCACAACTTCCTTACCACAAGCATCCCCAGGCATCTCCTCCCTTCTGGATTGGTGTGGGTCTTGCCCAACTGGGAGTAGGGACAGGACCAGCCCAGGAGCACTGAACTGCCGAGAAGTCTAGAGAGCTCAAGAAGATGGAGCTAGGAGGGAGGAGTAACTTTTGCAGAAAACTTGATGTGCAAGTATCTCTAGCAGAATCTGTGCATGTATATTTCTTAACTTTGTGCCTCAATTTCTTCTGTAAAAACAACCCTAGTTGGGGCCGGGGATTTAGCTCAGTGGTTTCGTCGCCTGCTGTGCAAGCGCAAGGACCTGAGTTCAATCCCCTATACCAAAAAACAAAACAAAAGAAAACAAAAAAACCCTAGTTGTAGTGATGATGGGGCCGGCACCAGCATGTGATCTCAATTAGAAAATATTAATGTTGCAAGTATCTTTCCAGAGACTGAAATTGACCTAGGGCAGAAAGACTTGGTTGTCCAATACCAGCGCCCAGTTCTCTTGTCCCTCTTCTGCCTTCCATGGGATCTGTCATCTTCAACCTTAGGCCACAAAGGAAACACCGCTTCTCTCTCCCGGAAGTCCAGCTGGTGCTGTCAGTGTAGCATGAGCTGGAACGGGCCCATATGCTGTACTGAGGGGGAGGCTTGCTGATTGGGCTTTGGTGTCAAAAATATCTGGACTCTCACCGTCTCCCTCACTCCTTGCGGAGCTGTGTGGGATCCCAAGTCACTTCCTCTCTCCGAGTCTCAGTTTCCGCTTGGTAGAGTCGTGATTAGATGAGAGAATGTGCAGAGGGTGCTGAGCACAACTGAAAAGGAACTGTTAAGTGTCAGGTCTGGTCTAGGTGTGGGCACAGCTAGGAGCAAGGAATTGGGATCTATGCCTTGTAGTGATGTCACGGCAGAGACACGTGTTCACCAACCATCACAGAAACAGGCATTTTGACACAACTCTGAGACAAAATCTAAGAAGTTCTGGCCTTCCCAGGAGCATACATAATGGGGAGCCAACTCAGCCTAAGACTCGGAGGAGTTTTCTCCAAGAAACCCCCCTTTGTCAGTGATCCGAGGGAGGGCAGATGGTGCTTGATGGTCAGGAAGCGACTGCTCCTGGGACCACCAAAGGGCACTCCTGGCTGGCAGCCCCTGCCTGCATGGCTTGGCCTCCTCCACCTCGCTCTCTCCTCTCCAATCTAAATGGCAAGTCTTTCCCCACCTGCTGGTCTCCCTTCCCTACTATTTCTGTGGTTTTCATCAAAGCACTCACCCAGATCTGGCACTGTATTCTTTGTTTGGTCTGACCATCTTTCTCACCAATGGCACAGAGCCCTCACAGAGGAGCCATCTTGTTCCTAGTTATAATCTCAGCACCCACAACACTGTCTGGCTCCAGTAGGTGTTTAACAATAGTTGAATGAATAAAGGAACAAGCTTAGAATCCTTACAAATGTATTTTCCTAGTGATTCCAGTTGACATCTCTGTAAACTAGGAGTTTAAAGTTTAAAAAAAAGCCAAACAATTCCCCTTTCCTCCCCAATCCAACGCCGTGTTCTGCCAGATTTTGTTAGGTCCCAGTGCTGTTTCTGAGAAGGTATCAGGTCAAATCCTGCTCTCCTGGGATTTCTGAACTTGAGTTATGACTTCCAGACTCAATTGCATTATTCCTTTGTTTAACTTGTGTCCTGCTGAGGCAGCTTCTCTTGTCCTTTTGAAGAAAATCATGTTCACACGAGAAAATGTGGAGCTCATTAAAAATGGGACTGTGAAATTTCTTTTAAAGGAAAAAGCTTTTGTGCTTTAGCTTGAGAAGCTCTGTGGAGCCTGCTCCTAGTCTGAATTTCACAAGTTCTAGATTAGGAGGCTGCTTAGACTCCTGTCCTGCCTGTCCTTTCAGCCCCCTAGTTGCTATGCCTCTCTGGATATTTTCTTCCCTCTCTTCCAAATCCAAACTGTGCCCTGGGTGGGAGGGGAACCCAGATGAAGAGGGAAGGTGGGTGACACACACTAATGGATGGAGACAAGCTCAATGTCTTTTTTCTCTGACCTTGGGAACAAAGGTGTGAATAGTTCCTTATAAGGAAACAGAGCTGTTTGGGGAGGGGCACAAACTTCAATCCCAAGAATCCCCTCTCCTCTACAAAGTCCAGTTAAACACTGGGGTTTACTGTTGGTAACTTAGGTGTGGAGCCTGAATTCAGGTTTGTCTCAGTCAACATTACCAATGGATTTCTCACAATCATAAAATCATTTTAAGCATGTTGTGGGATTTCATCTCCCACTGCAAATGGAAGTTCTTCAAACCTCCCTCACCCTGCCCTTTGTTGGGAGAACCTGTGCCCTCCTGGATCACATGGGGATGACCAAGGAACATTCACAGACATGGCCCCCAGACAGGCTTGCAAAAACGGTTGCTTGTTGAACTTTCTGGCCCTGGGACCTCTTCTAATGCCACAGAAAGGACATTTCCAGCGGGCTTGTTAGATGACAAGAGATGTCTGGAGCTGAGCGGAATCATCCTTAGCTCTGTCAGGGTTACCTGGGACCCTCTAGCAGCCATCCGCAGATAAACGAGGGAGTGCCGAACATCATAGAGATACCTTGTTGCCAGCACTAAGGTTGAGGGACGTTTACAATGGGCATTATTGTGGCACTGGATAACTAATACACCATCCTCAAAGGACTTTCAGTCTAGTGGGGAAGAAAAGTTCACATACAGCCACGATTGCTACAGCTACCAACATTGCTGGGTAACATTTATTAAGAGCATATCTATTTGGTTCCAGGTTCTAGGTTCAATGTTGCACGTACATTCTCTCATTTAATCTGGGATATTGTAACAACCCTCCTAGATACATACTACTGTTATTCCCATTGCACAGATAAGGAAACTGAGACTCAGAGAGATGAAAGGACTTGACAAAGGTCACACAACTAGGCAAGGGAGGAATCAGGATGTACAGGTCTGTGTGGCTCCAAAGCCTGTGACTGTTACCATTACACTTTGCTGTGATTCTAAATGTTTCAGCAGCACTCACAATGTATTACACTCACTATGTATTCCTTTTAAACAGGCAAATCAGTAGAACTTGCTAGGAGGGGCAGCATTTGGACTGTGCTTGAAGTGGCTCTGGACAGGATTTCATGCAAAGAAGTCAGAGTGGAGAAGTGCTTACGTGAATATTTTTATTCTGCAAACAGATTAAGGTATTTGACAGCTGCTGGAATCCAGTTTCTCATATCCAGCGGTTGGTTGCATTTGGTGAACACAGAAACTCTCCATTATATGCGCCTTGGAAGGATACATTCTGTGAAAAATTCCTCTGATAAAAGGCAAGGCTACTTCAAGCTGGTAAAACAGGCAGGTGTGCTTCTGGCATGTTGACTTAACTTACTCAAAAGCATCCTCCCCGTAATCTCCCAGGATGCTTGAAATTCCCCCCTTAGTGAAGGCACAAAGGCGCCAGCTGAAATGCACACGCATTGTTTGAGGTAGGTTGAGATGAGGGGAGTGTGTGTGTGTGTGTGTGTGTGTGTGTGTGTGCACTGTCTGGTTTAGGGGCTCCCAGGAGGGATGGAACCCATACAAATTGGGACCACTGGGCCCTAGAACACAAGCCAGAGATCGAGAGCCAAATCTCCTCCCTCCAGACATTTTTCTAAGTTTGCTGCTGTTGACTGGTGGCGTGCCTGCACACTTCAGTGGGAAATGGTCAGAGTGGGCACGTTACTCCTGCTGGGCAGCCTCCAGGCTGGTGCTGGTCAGCATGTCACAGCTACAAGGACGGACCATGCTGCGTGGGGGCTCGGGTTGCCTTTCCTCTCTTTCACTGCATAGGTGCCACCCCCACAAGAAAGGGTTTGGAATGACCGCTCATATCTTGCCTGCTGGAAGTGTGGACCCCCAGATCTTCCAGAAAAATTTCATATATTTATTTCTGCAGCTCTTCTCACCCCCGCATGGCTGTTCTCTCTGCAGCTTTGCCAACCTGTGGAGACTTACAGCCAGCAATGGTTTCTTGACAATGAGAGTCACAACCAATTCAGACAAGCATAATGAGATGCTTTTGTTGCAGGTGGAAGAAACTAATTTGAGCTGGCATAAGGAAGGATGGACATGAAAAGTACCATGGAGCCACGTTGGATCCAGGGACTCACCTCTCAGGCTCACTGCACTTTCTTTCCAGTCTTGTCCCTCTGTGTTGGCTTCATCTGTGATGCCCATGGCTCCTGGTACCTGTAAGCTGTCATTTGATCCTCCCAGAAACTCCAGAGAGAGACAGAAGAGCCTCTTGTCAAAGTCCCAGAACTGAGCCTCAGTGGTTCTGACTGGTGTGGTTTGGCTCTGGGGCCCATCCCTGAATCAACTATCATATTTAAGGTTGTATTAATTTCCTATTGCCGCTCTAATAAATTACCACCAACAGTGGTTTAGAATAACATAAATATACTACCATTTAATCTGGAGGCCAGAAGTTTAGCAAACAGGTTGGCAGGACTGCGTTCATTCTGGAGGCCGGAGGAGAGGAGCTGTTTCCGTGGCTCTGCCAGCCGTAGAGGCTACCTGCACTCCTTAGCTCAGGAGCCCACACCCTTCTGACCTGGGCTTCCATCGTCACCTTCTATGACCTGACTTTGCCTTCCTCTCATAAAGACATTCTCGCTGACATTGGGTCCTCCTGAATAATCCCATGCAATTCCCTAACTCAAGTTCCTTACTCACAATGGGAAGGTCCCTTTTGCCATATATTCTCAAATTCGGAGGATTAGGACTTGAATATCTCTGAGGGGACCATTATTCTGCCTGTCTCAGGGGCCACGTGACACTAATCAGCTGGTCCTGAGTCATAAGCCTGGCTCTTGAGCGCCACCCAGACATAGGGACATGGAGTGGGGAGGGGTGTTTGCTGGGGGAAGATGTGGCCCATTGCCAGGACTGCAGGAACAGAACACAGGGGAGCCAATAACAGTCAGAGTCCATGACAGAAAACAGAAAGAAACTTGAGGACTCTCTTGAACAATTTGCTGTCAGATTTCTTTTTGGAATCAGCCAATTTCTTTTAGCCCTTGAGCACATGTAAATGGCAAAACTGAAGTTCAGAATGCACTGCTGTCATGTTATTTCCCTCAGAATTTTATTTATAACGTATGTTTCTTTAAGGCAAGGAATTTGCAGCCTAGTACCACCTCTGGTGTGTTGAAGAGTAAGTCATGTGATGATGCAGTGCACAAGCCAAGACTTGGGGAGTATGGGAAAGCACTCTCATCGTCTTGTTTCTCAGCAAGTGTGGTGCATCTACTCTCAGGGTGGGTGGGAGGAAGAAATAAAAGGGTAGTGGAAAACTACATAATGTATTATGTTACTGTCCCTTAAATCCCCTAAATTGAAGGGAAAATAATCTTCAAAAGAGCCATAAAGCACATGAAGGGGCAATCTGAGGGGATGCTTAGCTGAGATCATTGCAATATTCTTAACAGCTGAGTTTTGAATCAAAAACGTAAGTGAGACTCACAGGCTTGAAGTAACAGTTGCACATCTGCTGCCATGGAAAAAGTTGATGAAAAATAAACACAATGGCCAATCCATGCACCTGGCCAAGGCTCAGAAACATGTGACTTCTCATCTGATGGCAGAGGCAGCACAGGAAGATCAAGGAATGTCAGCAAACTTCAGAGTGGGAGAAAGACCATGTGCTGGTGTCTTCTGCAGAAGAGACATGGGGTTATCACTGCTCTGTGCGACCTTTCGGTGGAGATTATGGGGATAAGAAAATTCAGTAGGTGAAGAGGGAAAGACTTCTTAACGATGCTCAGAAGAAAGTGAGAGCAATTACAAATGCCAGGTAGGGACTGAAGAGGCAGTCTGCCTACTGGTTACGAACTGTGTCCCCGGAATGAGAGAACTGACTTTGAATTCAAACTCTGCTACTTAATAGCTATGCAATCATAGGCCAGTGACTGTAAATTTTCAAGCCTCAGTTTTTTCATCTGAGACAGGGTTGATGCTAGTATAAATGTGGTTGAGTTGGCCCAAGGGCAATACAACATCTAAGCCCCTCACCACTAGCTTGCCGCTGGGTCGTGTGTATTGTGTGTTTTCTTTGCACACAGCTTAGTCTGGGGCCTAGGAGAACAAGTAGTGTTCCAGCCAGGATTTTCCAGTTGAAACTGGCAGACCTCCAAACAAGCAGAAACAAAAAGAAATGATGAGTTACTCCAAGTAGCTTAGGGACAGTGCTGATTTCAGGCCCAGAGGGGTGGAGAATCTCCAAGGACACTTCAGTCTATCTCTTCTTTCCTCTGTGTTGGGTTCATCCTCAGGCAGGGTCTGGTCTCCTGGTGGCTGTCAGTCGCTTCAGGCACATTTCTTCTTATCAGTGAGCCCAGTGTGTGGAGAACTTCCTTCTTAAGTGTCCCGGCCACACTCCTGAGGCTGATTGCCGTGTCTGACCTGGCCACATACCCAGGCCCTGCCTACCACTGAGGCCTTCAGGGTCATGGCTAAGATGCAGTGAATGCAGGCTCAGAGGGCCCAGGCAGCTGGCTGGTCTGCCTTCCTTCCACAGCTACCAGGTGGATCAGATCAAGGAGAGGCAAGACCAGGCCCTAGCGCCGGTGATGTGGAGAGAGAGCCCTCTTGTTCCCTTTGGCCCTTTCCCTTACTGCAGAAAAAGTTGCCAGAAATGGATTACTGATTTGGGTTTTTTAAGTTCCTCTCTCCATCCAATTTGCCAAAATGTATCATCTATGTTTTGTTAATTGTATATAGGTTCTGAAGGTTATTTTCAAGAATGATGCGTTTTCTCCTTCCTTATGCCTATTCTTGGTGGTGACTCCTGTCATCTGCCTTGGGGACGGTGTAATTGAAATGGTGGTCTCCCCCTTCCTCCCCTCTCCCTCTTTCTCCTCTTCCCTTGCCTCGTCTAGCGCTCTCTCCCCTCCAAATCCTCGCTTTCCAGCCTGTGGTCATGGGCAAACCAGCTGGGTGAGTCCACCAAGACTCCAAACCATCTTTATGATGAATTGTTTCATATTTTAATACAGGTTAGTTTTTTGACTTAAGTAAATTAGTTTGGAAACGCACTTTTGATCAGCACTATAAAATTAAGCGTGATGAAAACAGTGTTACAAAACACTGGCGGGACTCCGAGGAGCTGCCGGTGCCTGTGCCTTCCCTTTGTAAAAGGTGCCTCTTGTTGGAGACTGAAGATGCTCTCAACGTTTCCCGGGGCACAGCGAGAAGGACTGAAGAGGAGCAGCAAAGGGGACACCTTCCTGTCCTGTGAGGCCAGGCTGGGTGACACTTGGCGCTTCCTCCAATCGTGGTGGCCAGGGGACCGTGAGGACCAATTAGAATCCATGTTCATCTGTTGTGAGGGGAGAAGATTGCCAAGATGCACCCCTCATGAATAAGTTTAGCGCCCTTGTGAGAGAGACCACAGTGGGACGCTTGTGAGGATACATGAACCAGGAAGTGAGCCTGGATATAACGTGCTGGCAGCTTGATCTCAGACTTCCAAGACCCCAACTAGGAGAAAAAATTTCTGTTGTGCATAAGCCACCTGGCTTGTGGTGCTTGGGTAGAGTAACCCAAGCAAACTGAATTCCTCAGCTGGAATTCTCAAGGCTGGGAGCTTGGGTCGTCCTACCCCTTCCCATATCTGTGGCTCACCCTGGCTGCTCGCTGCAGGCCTCGGTTTCTCCAGGTGGTCTCTCCACCTGGTTGGTTTGGACTTGCTAGCAGCAGGGTTACCATGTTAAGAGAAGCATCCCCAGCCAACCAGTGGCAACCGGAAGCTGTGGCACCTTTTGTGATGTACCTCAGACCCTGGCCATCCAGGTTACACAGTAGGTGTCCCACGCTTCACGACAAGAGTCAGGGCATCTGTAGATGTTTTAAGCCTACCTCAGGTGTGCTGAGAACGGAGGAGAGGCTCACAGACCTCTGGTGGAGAAGCCTTCACGAGGAACCCAGAAGGCTGTGGGAGGTACACACAGGTCCCCTGGGGCCTCTGCCTGCCCCACAGGTGTCCAGGGGGAGGAACCCGCCTCTCCCGAAGCCACCCGGCCCGTGCCGTGCAGGTGAGGAAGTGGGACTCCCCACACCGCTGATTCACCCGGGACCCTTGTGACTCTGGCTGCGAAGCCCCCTGCCCCACCTGGCCTCTGAACTCCTGCCGGGCTGGGAGTCAGGGACCGACTGCCGTGGTGACCTTGAGTCACGAGTGTGAAGTGCCCCAGTGCCTGGGCGGACGGCCCCCGGCGGGCTCGGTAAGATCTCCCGAGGGAGCACTGCGGAGCGGTTACCCATAGACCCCGAGATAAAAGATGTCAGCCTCCCTGCCGCCTTTAACCGCCTCCTCGCTCCTGGGTGTGGGCCGCTGCTCGGGCCCGCGGTCCTGGGGCAGCCGGCTGGGGAGGAGCGCGAGTGTGAACGCGAGCCTAAGTGCGCGCGGGCCTCCGCAGCTGTCCCGGGCCCCACCCCCACCGCTCGGGGCCGCCCCGCCCCCGCCCCTCGCCGTCCGGGGTGCACTCGGGCCGCAGCGCCTCGGGCCGCACCCCCCCCCCACACACACCCCGCGCCTGGGAGGCGACCCCGGTGCTCCCAGGGTTCAGAGCCCCGGCGCGGTGGCTCCAGCCCCTCCGGAGGCGGGGAGGCGAAGGGGGTGGTGCGGGAACCAGGAAAGCGGAGCCCACAGAGGCGCAGCCCTGCGCAGGGATGGGCAGCGCGCTACAAAGTGTGTGACCGCCGCGAACTCTCGGCTGGAGCGGCCGGACTCGGAGCTTGCGCCCGGCCCCAGGGCCCTTTCGCGGCCACGAGCGGCCGTCCTCCCGGCCTGGTGCCCCGCGCCCGATCGGGGTTCATGGAGCCGGGGCTGTGGCTCCTTTTCGGGCTCACAGTGATCTCCGCCGCAGGTAAGCGGGCGGCGGGCGGGCGGAGCGAGCGCACACAAAAGGGGCTGGGGCCTCCCGGGCCGGGGTCTTGCAGGGAGCTAACTCGGGGGCCCTGCAGCCCTGAGGGCGCTGGGGTGCAGGCTGGGAGAGGGGCCGGAGAGGAACGCAAGAACTACGCCGCGGGCCCTGGGGGTTGCAGCCCTGGCAAACTACTCAAGCTTTCATGAAGTTGAAATCTTCTCAGAAAGTTTGCGAACTATTCAGAGACTGTCCAGAATGCTCACAAAGTTTTCATAAAGTGCCAGATGCGTGCAAGCATTCAGCCCGTGCAAATAGCTACAGTCTGCAAGCTGTTCACAAAGCTTGCACACAGCGTGCAGGCAGATCGTCTTGGAGAACTTAGAGAAAGTGCAAACAGCATGCACACTTTGCAGAACGGTGTTACCCTGCCCAGGTGTTTGGGGGTGGCGGGTGTTGAGCTTTTCCACTCACTGCTGCTCAGGAGCCCCTCCATGTGCCTCTTGTAGGATTCCGGCCGTGCCCTCAGACTGGGGGCTCTGGCAGGACCAGCGCGCTTCCGGGCCCCCCTGCAGCCAGATCTGAGGGGGACTGCGAAGAAACTGTGCTCGGCCTCAGCGAGGGGACGGGGGCCCCAGCGGCGGCGCAGGGCCCAAGTCCTGGAAAATCTGGGCAGGAGCTGGGAGTGGAGGGGGGCCCTGTGCACCACCGTGCCCGGCGCTGCACGTGCTTCACCTACAAGGACAAGGAGTGTGTCTACTACTGCCACCTGGACATCATCTGGATCAACACTCCCGAGTGAGTCAGCTTTGGGGTGGGTGGGGTCGTGGCCCTGGGCCCGGCCCATCTTCACATTCTCAGAGGACCTCCTCCTGCCCTAGCCCAGCCCACGCTGCCCTGGCATAGAGTTCAGCTCCTACCAAGGGCTGCAGACCAGGTGGTGTCTGCAGGTCACAGGTGAGACCCCCCCCCCCCCAGGGTCTGGCCCAGGAGAAATTCAATCTCAGGTTTGTGATCTGGAGGCAGGGGGCCCTTTCTCTGTGAGGGAAGTGAGCTGGCGGGGGATTGGATATCTGAGAAGTCTGTCTGAGCCTCTTTTCTGAGACACAGAAAGCCCCAAAAGTTTTAACTCCAGCTTCAGAGGCTAAGTGGGATTGTCCCTTTTGGCTTCTGACCCTGCCAGGGTCCAAGGAGTTTAAAATTCCTTGAAAGCAGCCTGCTCCCTGGGGAGTGAAAGGTGCAGCGGGTTCCTTTCCTCCTGTGGCATCCCAAGATGCCAAGGCAGCGTACGTGTGCCACTGCCTGTGCCTGGGTCTCTCAGGGGCTGGCTCTCACTGCGGCCACAGAGCACCCCACCTCTGTCTCCAGAGCCCCTTTCCTAGGGTCTGGCAGCACATCTGCAGGAGACTTGGGGCACCACCACGCAGTGGGGTTTACCCTCTCCCAAGGCCCAGGCAGTGCTGTCTGCCAGCTACCCTTTGCGCAGTCTTCCAGAACCCTGTGCTGCAGGACACCATCTTGCAAGCGACACAGAGCGCTTGACTGTGCTCTGGTTACCGCCCCGGGGCTTGGCTCTCTCTTGAGCATTTGGGACTTGGGCCAGGTGCCACTGAGGTCTGTTCCCTGGCTGTCCTCGGGATATCTGAGGACGTCTGCTTGGACCCTGTGAGGAATTCCTGCCTGGGAACTTGGAGATGACTGTGAATGCAAACTCTAGACCAGGAAAAGCAACTTCGCTGCCGCGACCCAAGGCTTCTCCATGCCTGCCCCTCATGGTTTCCTTTGTCCCCGAGCGCACTGACCTTGGAGCCCTCTGGGCAGTGGTGTTGAGAGTGCTCACACACCCAGCTGGATACCTCGAGAATGAAGTGCAAGGGAGGGTGATCCTGAGGGGTCTGTGTATTCGAAAGCAGATGACAAGACTCCTGACCACTGCCAGGTAGGTCTGAAAGTCACCCTACTAGAGCAGAATGACATACAGGGCCAGCCTCATGGGCAAGCCACCCAGACACCGGAAAAGGCCAGGAGCTCAGAAGGATCTTGGCTCCATTTGATGCCCTCCCATGGCTGTCAAGAAATTCTTAATCCTTTGTGAACCAAGGCTTCCACAATTTCCTTTTAATCCAGGTTCCACTGATTCTTTAGTTGATCCTGACAGCATGATGTGCTTGTCTGGGCCAAGTGTGATGAGGTCCCGAACATCTGCCAGGCCACAGCAGGGAGATGGGAGGATAAAAATGATGTGTGTCAGGCATCATCGATTGATTTCTATTCCCGGGCAGTATCAGGGTCGCCTTTTCTTATAACCTTGGTCACTCGGGCGCTTGTCTTTTCTCATTCTTATCCTCCTGGCATTGTGATTCCACCAAATTAGCTTCACAGGCTTCAGGGCTCTAGGTAGTCAACAGAAGCCTGGGTCCTGGTCTTAGTTATAATCCCAAGCGGTGAATCTAGAAGGAGAAAGAAGTAAGTCAACTGAATGAATGGTTAGGAGAAGGGTGGCATTTGGAGGTCACCCCAGTTTTCTGACTGTCCTCCAAGCCCCTGAGCACTAGCTGGGGAGGAACTGATCACTTGAGATGTGTCCCAGAGGCTCCACAAACACCTTGTGGTATTTGAAATCCTGCTGAGAATTTTGACTTGTCTTATATGGCCTGAAATGCAGCTATGGATCTTTGACTTTTTCCAGGACAGCCAACTTGATAACTTTCTCTCAAAGTTTGATTTATCTCTTCCCTTCACCTTCCACCTTGACTTGCTCTAAACATTGGGAAAGAAAGGGTAGATCTGGTGTTTGGGCATCCCGTGAGCTACTTGGAAACAATTGCCAGACTTGAGTGCTTTGAAACTAAATAAATGAAATACATGATATATAGAAGATGTTGCTGGGTGGCTTCTCTCCCTCTTTGACTCCTCTCCTTTCCTTTCTTCCTTCCTGCATCCCTCCTCCCCTCATCCCTTTCTCCCTTCTTGAAGCTATTAATGTGTAAAAAAGTCCAATTACTACCTTTAAAATATCTCAGACAAGGTTGCAATTGGAGAAAAATGGGCCCTAGCCTCTGACAGGGAATGCGGGCCTGTGGGAAATGGAAGACTTACTCAGTGGCACTGCAGGTCACTGGGTGTGTGCGACTCTCTCGGCTCCCCTCTCTAATGTTTCCTTCCCTGTCACTCCGCTCCTCCTCCTTGGCAGACTTCCTGGTCTTCGCTCCCAAAACTCCTCCGCCAGGGAGTGGGCTGCGTCCAGTCCCTCTGGCCAGCTGCTTCAGAATCTGGAGGGATCTTGGTCCTCCTGCCTGCATCCAGCTCCTTAAACTGTGGGTGTTTTGCACTTTGGTGCCATTATTCCTCCTTATGTGCATTTGATTGCATGGAGATGGAGTCCACAGTCCTACTCCATCTTTGGAGAACACCTGGGTAGACCTCCGGGAAGACCCATTCTGCATGTGTCACCATGTGGGCTGTGTCCACAGACTTCACCCTGCAGGAGTAGTGTGGACAGCTGTTGAGACTCCTGCATCTTCTCATGTAAATGTAGCTGTCTAGGTTGGCACGAGGGATCAGTCACTAGTAAGAACCTTCCAGGCAGAAGGTCAGAGGTTTCCTCGTTCTCCCATTTTCTCCTAGGGCCTGAGCTTGAGCAGCCCTTCCTGCCAGGACTCAGCATGTAGTAGATGATCAGTTAATGCTGGTTGACTTTTGCTCAAGCCCTGCCCTGGTTGTTCTTCCTTGTCTTCACTGTTGCTGTGGACTAGTCTGCTGTGCTTTCCCCTACTGTGAGCTTCCTTCACCTAGAAGGTGTGGCTTTCCTCACTGAACTGGCATGAGAATGTGAGTTTTTCTGGGGCACATTACCCATAACTTCCACCATATTCTCCAAAAGCCCATGACCCCAAAGAGGAACCAGATTTGTCCCTTGGCAGCTGCAGTTCTTGGCCTTGTAGAGGTGGCTAAGAGCACAGCCAGTTGATGAGACAGTGCCCTTTTCCCACATTAGGAGCTCCAAGTCCTCACACCCCCAAACAATCCTACCACTGCCAACAGAAACAAATCCCAGATCAGAGAAAAACACGTCCTATCTTATTGTTGTGAAAAATTTGCAAAGAATAAAATAGTAAGGGGAGGGGGCATGAACGAGAAGGCGGCATGCTTATATCCTTGCTTGCTTGGGGCCCTCAGCGAGTACACGAAAACACGTGTCCTAGTAGGGACTGTTATTCTATCAGTCAGGGGTTTCCAGAGAGAACCAATAGGAAGTGTGTGTGTGTGTGTGTGTGTGTGTGTGCATGCACACACACTCACAGTCAGAATTGACTTACATAATCATGGGTCTGATGAGTTGGAAATCTACAGACCAGAGGCTGGAAATTCCAGCAGGAGCTGGTAGCACAGCCTTGGGCCCGAAGGCAATGTGGAGAAGGCATTCCTTCTTCTTTGGGGGACCTCAGACTGCTCATGCAGCCTTCAGCTGATGGTATGAGGCCTGTGCCCCTTATGGAGGGCCATCTGCTTTGCTCAGATCTCTGATATAAATATTAACAGCACTGGAGCTAGGGATTTAGCTCAGTAGCCATACCTGCCTTGCAAGCTCAAGGTCCTCAGTTTGATCCCTGGTACCAGACAAAAATTTTAACAGCATTGAAAAAGACCTTCACAGAAACACCCAGAATGGTGTGTAACCAAACACCTGGGCACCATAACCTAGCCAAGGTGACACCTAAAATTAAGCATCACAGGGGCATCAATTCTAACCATATCCTACAGCAGCCAGCTGAAGAGTGAAAGCCAGTCCATCGGCTGGTGGCTGAGCTGCAGAACACTCAGCAAAGCGCCCTGCTGCGTGTCCCCACCCTACGCGTTGAAGGAAGCTGCCATCTGTTAATCCCTCCACAGAAATACGAAGGAAGCACCATGATACCATGCTGGTGACCATGTTTTCCGAACAAAAATCTGAGCCAAATGGCTGATGAAGAGGAATATACTCATGAAGAGGGCGGGGTGGGATGTTTGAAATCATGATTGTGGCAGGAAATCTGGGATCTATAACTCCCAGTCATGGGGGTTGGTAGGGAGAGTTTAGAGGGGAAACTTAGTCCCCAGGGGCTCTGGCCTGGAATCCTGGCTGAGGCTCTGTGTGGCCCCAGGGTGAAGATGCCATCAGCTTTCAGAATCAAGAAACCTTTCTGTAAGGTGCAGACTCCAGGCCCGCTGCAGGGCAGTGACCTCAGGGTCTCCCGGAACTCCTACAGACTGGCCGTCTCCTAAAGGACAGCCAGCTCGACTGCCTGGGCTGTTGCAAAATGTGGCATGCTTACTTAATCCCACAAGAATAACATTTGTTTTGCATTCTTTTTCTCTAGACAGAAGTGGAGTAAAATAATAATTAATAATAATAATGATAAAATTTGAACTTGAATTTTAATATATTCTACCTCAGAAAGACAACATCACCACAATTTCTGGCTTCATCTTCTGAGTTCAAGAAAGGTGCATTTTAGCATGTTTCCAAGAAGACACTTTCTAAATCTCAGAGTATCCTGATGGAGCAGAGGGGTCTGGAGTCCCAGCCTCCTGCATACTGGAACCAGCAGTACATCCGCCATGGGATTTGAGGATCCTGATTAAAGCCACTTTGTCCCATGAGCCAGACCTGGCAGAATTGTTGCTGGAAATGTGGCCCTTTGAATCAGAGGGTCAGAGTCCATGTGGCCATGATAGTTTTTGGAAAGTGTCACTTTCCCGCTAACATTGGTAGTGCGGATGATGAGCACGTGTCATCTCATGTCACCTGCATGTTG